CTTGGTTATAGGTTCTGGTCATTAATAACCCGTAATAAAGATGAAAGCATATTCTTATCAGCTGTTTATTTCATGTAAGGAAAATTGCTACAAGATAGTTCACCTCTGTCTGCAATCTTTAGAAAACAACTTTATTCAGGAAACCAAGCTGACACCAGAACCTCAGGGTATGGAAATCAACTTCTCCACAGATGACTAACTTTTAATACACAAACATTCATTTTCTTTAGCACAGGATGATAAATGTAAATATGGTACCAGTCCAAATACTTACATAAAATCTAGACCGAGGGCCATTGGGAGAATGCAGCTGCATTTCAAAGTAAATGGATTATGGGAGTAAAAATGCAAATGCAGTAATGTGAGAGGCTGGGGAGATGACCCACTACTGTGGGAAGCTCACTGCACCAGACTGAGAGTCACGGTTCTAACTGTTCTTCTGACTAGTTATGTGACCTTGGGCAAGCCACTTACTTTCTTAGGAGAATTGCTTGAAAAAGTTCAGCAAAAATTATACAAGAACAAGATAGAAAATCTTAGATCTCTGTCTACTGAGAAACTGAATAATTTTTTAAAAGCTTTAAGTCAAATAGCTTGAATAATGAATTTTTCAATCATTTAAGGAAGAAAGAACAAGAAACTTAAAGATTCTTTTTAGAGAATAAAAAAGGAGAATAATTCCCAACTTCTTTTCTTTTATGAGACCAGTTGGCTTTTTAAGACCAAAGACAAGGGCATTATATTAATAGAAAATGGCAGGCTAATCTTTCTTATGAATTTGGATGCTAAGCTCTCAAACAAATTATTAGCAGATCTAATCCAGTGATTAACTAAGACAATGACATTTAAAATTTAGGTTTATCCCAAAATATTGCACTGATTTAGTATTTGAAAACCAATCACTGCATTTGAAGAATAAAGGTGAAGTAATATATAATAATCTCAACAAATACAGAAGTAATTGATGGAATTCAACACCCATTCAAGATTAAAAGAAACCTAGAATTATGAAAATTTCTTTAACTGATGGAGAGTATATACTAAAGATGTCATATTAAATGATGAAACTCTGACACTTCCCCCTCTGAGTTCAAGAAAAAGAGGACATTAATAATCATCACTTCCATTGAACTTGGTACTAAAAGCCTAGCCTGTGCAAGACACAATAAAAAATAAAAGAATTGAAAAAGAGTTAAACTATCATCTTAAAATGACCTGATTATATATATACAAAATGCAAGATCATCTACAGATAAATCATGAGCAAATAAGTTAATTTATCAAGGTCTATAGATAAAAGATCAACACACAAAATTCAACTGTGTTTTGATATACCCACAAAAGTTTAGAAAATATAATTAGAAAAAAATACCACATTAGACATAAAAGAAAAAAAATGAATACATAAAAGACTATAATGCAATGATAAAAGGAGAAGCAATCCATAAAAGAATAGGTAAAAATCTTGAATAAACATTTTAAAGTAGAAGACATAAAAATAGTAAAAAAAAAAAAAAAAATGCATGAGAAGATACTCAACATTATTAGTCATTGGGGAAATGGCAATTTAAAACAAAATAGATACCACTTCACATCCACTAGGATGACTAAAATTAAAAGACTGACAATGACAAGAGTTGATGAGGATGTGGAATGACTGGAATCCTCATACATTGCTGGTGGAAACAAAAAATGCTTCAACCATTTCAGAAAACTTGAAGTTTTTTTTAAAATAAATTAAGCAAATATATTACCTTACAATCCAGTAATTCTACTCCTAAACATTTAAACATTTACCTGAAAAATAAAAGTATATGTGCGCATGCACACACACACACACACACACACACACACACACACACACACACATCTTGTAGAAAAATGGCTTATTCATAATATCCAAAAACTTCAAACACTCCAAAGTTACATTAACAAGACAATGGATAAGCTAGGTACGAGCATACAGTGGAATACTACTCAGGAGTAAAAAGAGAATTACTGATATACACAATAACATGAAAAAAAAATCACAAAAACATTATGTTGACTGAAAGACATTATATATATATATATTGTATCAGTACATTGATTTGAATTCCAAGAACAAGCAAAACTAATGTAGGGTAATAGAAATCTAAGATGGGGATGAAGGAATTAACTGGAAAAGGCATGAAGGAACTTTCTGAGATAAGAGATGTTCTGTATCCTGAATGGGGTGGTAGTTACTAGTACACAGGCATTTACACTTGTCAAAACTCATCAAACTGTACAATTAAAATCTGTACATCTAAATTATATATACTATAATTAAAATGTAATTAAAATCATATCAATATAAAAAACCAATGAATATATGACTAACTCTAACTATAAGGTTCAAAACTTCTACTCAGAAAACTACAGCTGAAATTAAAGAAAGCCTAAACATATAGAGGGATAAACCATGTTTATAATATGACATATGGAGAGGATTATAAAGTAACTCTGTAGAGGGAAAGAATGAACTAGTCTATAAATAACATTGAACAATGTGGAAAAGACAAATTAGAGGCAGTTTTAAGTATTAAATTACACTGGAGATTAAAATAACCAAAACATTCAATAAAATATTTTTTAAACAACTTTAAAAATAAGAACATCAAAATAAAGTGAGGAATCGCAGGAAGTAATGTAGTGCCAAAGCTGTCTTTTGCTCTAAAGCCCTTGTTAAGAAAAACATAATTCCCCTCCCCACAGATAAAATTGTTGAAAATCATCAGTAACAATAAGCAGCAAATGAAATAAACTATAAATAGACAATATATTTGAATTATCAGATACAGAATATAAATAAGTTTAATATATTTTAAAAATAAAAGGAAAACTTGAAAATCAAGAGCAGAGAGCACTTTGATTTAAACGAGAATCAAATAAAAATTTCAGAAATGAAAATAATTATAATTACAAAATTGAAACTCATTAGACTTCACTGAAGAGTAAATTATTGAGTAGGTAAGAAGTATCCAGAGATGTCCACAGAGACAAAGAAATAGAAAACATAAAAGAGAGGTTACAAAGAATAAATAACAGAGTAAGAATAGATTAAGTATTAGAATAAAGAGTAACTAATTAAAATTTCAGAACAAGATAACAGAATGGAGAAGAGCTAATAATCCATATGGGGAAGTGAGGGGGGCAGAAACGTGGTCCCTACCTCACACATACACAAAAATGGAATCAAAGATCAATCACTAACTTAAACATAAAAGTTAAAATTAATATCCTCCTAAAAGTAAACATAGGAGAGTACATTCATGATCTTAGAGAAGATGAAGATTTCTTAGCAAGAAGGCAAAAAGCATTAATTTTAAAAGAAAAAAAAAAAACCTGATCATATAGATTTCATCAAAATGAAAAATGTCTGCTCATTGAGAAATATCATTCAGGAAATGAAAAGGCAAGCTACAGTCTGAAAGAAAATATGAACAATACATATATCTGGCAAATGACTAGTATTCAGACTATAAAGGTTTTAAAGTACTCTTACAAATTAATAATAAAAACATATATGAATGGCAAGTGAGCACATGAAAAGGGGCGCAATGTCATTAATCATTAGAGAAATGAAAATTTAAACCCTAGAAGACATCACTTTATGCCACTAGTATATCTAAGATGAACAACATAACACCAGGTGTTGGCAAGGCTGTGGAGCAACTGGAACTCACTCTTGTTGATGGAAGTGTAAAATGGCATGACTACTTTGGAAAAAATCAATGTCCCTGACATGTCATAAACTGAGCGTTTAAACTTCCTCTGTTGGGTTACCTGGGCCCAAACTTCTCCTTTGCTTAAGCTAGTTCAGCTTAGGTTTCTCTTGCTAGCAGCCAGTGAACTATGGCCAGCACTAAAAGGTAAGAAATATAGATTGTGCCCCTGGCTACGTGCAGCTTTTATGCTAGGCAATGTAGAGCCAGAACCGCTGAGCCAAGTGTCCTTATGCAACGGCTTGAACTGTCCTGCTGAGCTACGTACGCATCCACAAGGCCACCTCAGTGTCTTGTGTTTTCTCCCTACAACAAACGCCCTTCTGACGCAGACAACCTGGATCATTCAATGTGAATGGTTAAAAAAGAAATGTGAAGGAAATGAGGATGTGAAGTAATAAATGGGAATGATAAAATATTAATTTGAAAACCAACTTTGGGTACTTGCATATTGTACATGCAGTCTACATGACCATCAATTAAATGAATAATTCCCGTCATTATGCGGGGTATGGCCTTCAAGAAACTGCTGTGGCAATAGTCACCATCTTATACTGTATTTAAGAAAGAAGTAAGATATTTGCACATTCTAAGGATTAAAGCAACTGCATCTTACATAAACTAGTGAACACACATAAGACCATTCTGAACTGGGACTTATATTTTCAAAATGTCAGACATATGCAGCAATAAATCAAATGGAAAACACCTGGGGTATTAAATTATCTTCGAGTCAATTTAAACATAACCTCCTCAATCTACTAACATGACATCTGGGTGTAGGTTCCTTCTTGAGCCCTGTATTTCGTAAACATTGGAGAAACCAGTCAGGCGGGATCTTTATCTGCCTCAACATTATTTCTGTTGGAGGCATTTATTCTCTTGTTCTTTACCTGGTGGATCTTGGCTTACTCTCATGCAGCCAAAATAACCATTTCTTGCTTTGCGTCCTCATGTTTTCCATCTGACCTTTCTTTCTTTCTTTCTTTTTTAATATATTTTATTGATTTTTTACAGAGAGGAAAGGAGAGAGATAGAGAGCTAGAAACGTCGATGAGAGAGAAACATTGACCAGTTGCCTCTTGCACACCCCCTACTGGGGATGTACCCGTAACCCAGGTACATGCCCTTGACCGGAATCGAACCAGGGACCTTTCAGTCCGCAGACCGATGCTCTACCACTGAGCCAAACCGGTTTTGGCTCCATCTGACCTTTCTTAACAGGCGGCACTTGGAATAAAGGATAATGCTTACCTGTGTCGTAATATACAATCAGCCGTTTGCCGTGATTGCCCACGGTCTGTGGCTCGAAATCCACTTCCAGTTGCATGGACTCTCCCACAGTAAGAGTTCCAACAGACGGCTCCACAGAGAACGGCCTGCAACACACGAGACGCACCATCAGCACATGCTCCTGACTGTGTGAGGGGCGAAGGGGCAAGAGGCTCTAGATCTGTACATGGTTCAGTCCCGACACTGTAGCTCAGTGCTGGGGAAGTAACTCTCCCCCCTGATGTGAAAGAACTTTGGCTTTAATGTTAACATAATCAGCACGCTTAAGAGAACATGAAATGATGCAATAAACTTCTTCTTTGTGTCCTTGCCATTAGGCAATTCCTTTAACGTTCATGGAGAGATTCAGTAAGGGACAGATTTACAACATGTATGCAAATAATGTAATCTGTAAAAAAACAAAACAAAACAAAACCTGTACCTTCAAAGGGATAAAAATCAAGTTTTATGAGAGTTAAGAGAAAAGGGACCTTCATAATGGAAAACAATATCAGAGTCCCCAAAGGCAAGTGATGACACAATCACATTTGAGGGCAGAGTAACAAAGGATCTAGTTAAAAGGGCAGGGAGGAGGGATCGAGGGAAACTACACGATTATTAACAGTAGAGCTGTTTCCCCCTCTGGGCCCAAAGAGCCGAGGAGAAAGATTGGTTTTTAAAACCCACAAGAGTTCTAAGAGAACGCTACCTGATGAGGAGCAAAGAGCTTTAGTCAAGAGAGACGGCCAGCCCCTCTTCAGAGGGAAGACACGGCAGAGGGGAGAAGTGTCCTGACCTCGCATCCTCCTGTCAGATGGCCTGCTGGGGCTCCCCAGGCCTGAGCCCAACCAGAGGCCAGAGACCGGGAGCCCGGTGACCTGGGCCTTACAGGCCAGCCTCCTGGGCGAGGGCAAGCTGGGGAAGAGTGGGGAGCATTGGAAAAGGCAGACTGGGACAGGTTCTGTGTCTTCAAAATTTGGGCACGTAGACACTAGGGGAGGTAGGGTGGATTTGGAAGCAGTTTCGGTTAATCGCCCTGCATCTGGTCATGAAGTGCCTTAAATAAGTTACAGAGTCCTCCCTCCCAAATCAGAAACCCAGCCCACTTCCTTCCTTTCACGCTCCGCTTCACTTCTTCCAACTGCTGGCTTTTCAAAGTGAAGGCACGGTGCAATGTCTGGCAGGCTTAGCTATTTCTGATGATTTACTTATATCACAACCGACCCTGAAGCCCTCCCTTCGATACTGAGCTTAATTTCAGAACACCTACGCTTTCTCTATGAGGGTGCAGAGCTCACGGCCGAGGTAGCACCCGGTGGTACCTGAGATTATTACTGTAGGACCTCTGGTGCTTCCTCCCTCGGGCAATTGTTTCCTTTCTCTGATGTTCTCCATCTGAATCTCCCTCTCCTTTCTTTACTTTTCCACGTTGTTATTAGTCCTTTTACCATTCCTGCAGCCACCAGTCCTCAATAAACCCCAGACATTGCTGTACAGGCACGATGGTGCAGTGGTTATTGACCTCGAGTCAATGGTATAAGTTCAAAACCTAGCTCTGCCATGGCCTTGGGCAGGTCATTGAACCTCATCTATGAAATGAAGGTAATGAGAGCACCTACTCCACAGAACTCTATGAAGTAGTGAGGAATACAGGGGTTGATATGAGTAAAGAGCTTAGAATAATGTCTGGCACGTGGGAAGTGCTAAAAAAAAAAAAAAGTGTTTATCATTATTTTTGTTGTTGCTATTTTTATTTTTATCCCCCTCACTGGCAGCCCCTCCAATGGAAGATGAGTCTGGGGATGATCTTGGGTATCCAGATAAGTTCAAATTTTTATAATTCTCCTCTCAATGTGTTACACTGCTCTAGAGATTTTACAAAAAAACACATGCAGGTCATAGCACATCAACCTCTTGTTCAATCACCTCAGTGGTCCTCCCAACCTATGTCATAAAGTTCAAAGTCCTAGGCATTTGCGGTCCCACACAATCTGTTCCCAAGCAGCTTTTGCATTCTCATTAAACACAGACATCTGTCCAAATGTCCCACACACCTGTCACATTCCAAGTCAGGTTGGGGCGGGATGGCATGGGAGGACTTTGGTCTCTTCACCCATAACCTCCCCTGGCACTGCCACCTCCTCTCCCAGCCAGCCTGCGCCCCCTACACAGACATTCCCCACACCTCCAGAGGCACTCAGCACAGCCCAGACTCAGCATCGCTCCTTACACAGAATCTTCCCCAATTCTGCCTCTTGTTAATAATGCCTCCTTCCTCTCAGAGGCAATAGCTTCCTTTACTTTTTCTTACTTCAGTTCACCTTGTACTATCCTGACTTTTCATACCTGCTTCTCTCAAAAGCTAGAAACTCTTGTGATGAAAGGAAAGGAAAAGCAAACAAAATCTCAAGAGCACATACTCTATGCTGGGTACTACACGGGCTCTTTACATATGTTAATTCCTCCAATCCTCAGAAACACCTTGAGAAAGTAGGTATTGTTATTGGCTATTGGCGTTTTCCACTTGAGAAAACAAATGCTCCAAAAAGGCAGGCAACTGTCCCGAAGTTACCCAGCGAGGCAGTGGTGGAGGTTGAATGAAAGCATGCCTTCAAGTTCTTTCTGTTTACCCAAGCCACCTTGTTAGATCCACCTTGGTGTCTCTCACCACGCCAGGCACAGCTCTTTCTTCACAGGAGCCTCTCAATAGAGGCAGTTAGATGCAATTACAACCCACTTTTGGAGGGAAATAAAAATATCTGCAACCATAAATTAGTGATTATCACATCCTAGTGGAATAGAAGAGGAGTTGACTTTCGGTATCTCAAGAATTTCTGCTTCATGTGAGACGAAGTTGAATCTCACAGTCTCGAAAGTTCCTTCCTTCCTTCCTTCCTTATGGCCCCAGTAAGAATCCAAAATGTTGAGAACTGGCCCCAGTTTCCTGGTTAGGGAACAAACATAATCTACTGTAATATTTTCTTCTATCGTTGCCTCCCTGGTTCCTAATTTTTTTCTTCCTACCCTAAAATGAAATTGCTTTCATTTTCTTTTCAAATATTTCTTGGTAGCAAAAGGACAGTTTTTGAAACGAACTGGGTAGTGTTACATTGCAGAGCCTAAGCTAATTTTCTATGAAAAAAACAGAAGTGCCCTTCTCTAGAACTCCAGCAATCCGTGTGCCATTGAGAGGTAACAGATACTTTGCTGTTGTGCTAATGGTTGGGTTTATATCACACTAAATTTCTTCAGGACCTAGACAATCACCTGGGATAGCCACTGCCACTTAGCGCTGCCTAAGCGCTCTCCATAAATCAGACAGTAATTGGGGAGAGCGTGTTAAGTTCTGGTGCTTAAGCCTTGTCTCTGGTTTAATTTTTTTTTTTTTTTTTACTTCATTTTACTAAAAGCAGACAGGCTGAACAGGCTAGAAACTATCGGAAAACGCTCTTACAAAGAGCTGAAAGTACTGCTCCTCGGGGTATAAGGCTGGCTCTCTCTACTAAAACGTTTGGTTTTGATATCACATCCTCATTAATCCCAAAGACTTGGTGAGGGAGGGAACTCGGGTTTGTGAAAAAATCATGAGAAGCCGAAACCGGTTTGGCTCAGTGATAGAGCGTCGGTCTGCAGACTGAAAGGTTCCAGGTTCGATTCCGGTCAGGGGCATGTACATTGGTTGCGGGCACATCCCCGGTAGGGGGTGTGCAGGAGGCAGCTGGCCGATGTTTCTCTCTCATCAACGTTTCTAGCTCTCTATCTCTCTCCCTTTCTCCTCCCTGTAAAATATCAATAAAATATATTTTTAAAAAATCATGAGAAATCACAAGAAAGATGTTAAGGGACTTTTGAAAGATTTTTGTTCAATCTACTGCAAACTGCTCTTAAGAACTAAAACTGTTCCATCCGGATGACTCAATGCTTTAACAGAAGACTAACTACTGGCTCTATTTTATTAAGCATCAAATAAAATATTGGTTCTTTTTCTTCAGATAAGCTTTTTATTAACTGATTCCCAACTTGAGGTTTTTAGATTTTTGAAATGACTTCCTAATCCTTTCCATTTCACCTCCCAGGACTGATCCTACTTAAATCATCCAAATCTTTCTGGCACCTACTCGAGGGTTAGGTCAAATTTGTAATAAAGTTGAAGAGTAATTGTTTATGTCCTTTGTATATTTTACAGCAAGTGCGGCTCCTTCTATCCGTATAAAGAACACTGTGTTGTTTTTATAATACTTGGAGCGTGCTGCAGCTTTGCCTTTGTGATGTATTGTCGGTTAGGCAGCCTATAAACATTGACTGGGCACTTGTTTACTTTAGATACTTGGTTAACTGCTGAGGACACCACTGAAGTTAGATAATAGCCCTTGCATTTGAGAAGCTCATATTCTAATGGCAGCAACAGACATATAAAGTTACTTTTCTTTTTTATAATTCATAGGAACTTGACCCTTGATGAACGTAAACACTAATTAAATCATTATTTCAATGAAACAAATATGATGTTTTCATACTTCCTGTGAGATATTATTTCTAACTGCATATTGTCTCTAAAAGTAGTAAAGACCTGGAAGAGATGATGGGTTTTTGACTGACTCCAAATGCTCAAACCATATCCACTGCTCTGCCATGTCTACGGACAACCGTATTCACTGAATTAGTGGTCCCCAGCCCAGTCAGGGCAGCACAGCCACCTGTGTGCCTTTCAGAATGGACACCTGCCGGGGGGGGGGGGGGGGGGCGTCTACCAGAGATTCTGATTCAACACCATGCAGCCACAAATCCATCCACCACCGTCTATGTCATTGTAACCATCAGGGTTCTCGGCTGTAAACAAGCTCTGACTAACAAGCAGAAAAGGGATTTATGGGGAGGATTTGAAGCTGCTCACAGAGTTGACAGCATGGTTGGAAAAACGTGCTTTCTGTGGAACGGACATAAAGCTATTATTTTATGCGAAGTCTAAGCAGGAAAACAAAAATATTTGCAGGCAGGGGATTTAATTGAGAGTCTTGGTTCCACCGAAGATGGGAATGATGTGAGGCCCAATTTAAGACAGTGAGATAGATGAAGGATTAGCAACAACAGCCACTTCCACCCGGGGCTGGAGACAAAAGATGAGGAGGGAGTGTGACCACGTCCTGGGGGCCTAGCAGAAGTTGGAGCCCATGGCGGGCTTGTCTGAAGGGCTAGAGGCACAGGGAAAATGCATTTGCTTGCTGGGGAAGCTAGAGAGGGAGGAGGAGATATGCCCTGGCTTCTTCCCACCCTCTAATCTCCTTCTAGTGCCCCCAACTGGTCAAGCCCAGCAGGTAACCAGCTGACTCAGGAGGCGAGGGGGACTAACACAGCCTGAAGGTGACACTGGGTATTGCTGGGAAAGGGTGAGGAATGGATCTGCAGGTACAGAAGCCCAGAACTGGGCCATGTTTGTTCTAATCCAGGCTTTGCTATTAACTTACTGGGGGAATTTAGATAAACCATTTATTTCCCTTCTCAGACCTTACTTCCTTCATCTGTAAAATAGGAATGTTGGACTATAGCTGCTAATGTCTTTATGATTCCCAGCTAGTCCTTAAGTTGGCTCGCCATTTTACCTTAGAAGTGTTTCTATTTTAGGGGGAGATGATTCACATTCATAGCTATGGATGAACATGCTTGACATACTTTCTTGCAACTTCATACTATTCAATCTGTGAAGTGATTTTGTCCACTTTACGGAACGCGACATGTAAAGAAATGGTCATTTACATGTAGCTGGGAAGATTCAGCCTAACAGCCCAGGAGGATGTCAGAAGACACTGGTTTTCACAAGAACTCTTCCTTCGCCTTTGACGGTGGATTTACCTGAAGTAGATCAGGATGCAGAAAGCTAGAAAGAGTGTCTCTCTTACTTTAACGATGAAAAATAAAATAAAAAGGATAAACAGCAAAATCCCAAGTTTTCTTGAACCATTCAGAGAGCTGAGGTTGCAGGGCATAGAAGTGGCAGGAAATCTAAAAATGGGCCATTTCCAGCCCCCAAGGGAGATGGGGCGCCTGCGGGCTGCTCCGCCTATGATAAACAGGTTCCCACACGCAGAAGAAACAGTGAGAGAGGATGGAGTAGAAGAGACGTTTGAAGAGATCATGACTGAGATCCTCCAAAATAAAAAAGACCCAGGAAGCTCAGAGAACCTCATGCAAAAATTGAAACTAAAACTAAGCAAAAGCAAAATAAATTCCTTAAAAATAAAACCCACACCTAGACACATCATATTCAAAGTGCTGAAAAAAACAAAGACAGGAGTAGGCAAAAGTAGGTTTATAGCTGTATGTACACAAAACACAGTTTATTCTCATATTATTAGTTATTTGTAAATCATGGGACTATGTATTTATATCACACCCATAAACCCACTTTTGCCCACCTGTATAAGAAAAAAAAAAAATCTTGAAAGCAGCCCAAGAAAAAGGCATAGAGGAAAAAGATAAGAGTTATAAGCAGACTTCTCATGAGAAAAAAAAAAAAGCTAGTAGACCATAAAGTGACATCTCTAGAGTACTAAATAAAATATGTGTATCTCTTACTGTCAACTCAGAGTTCTATAATGTAGAGAAAATACCTATCAAAAATGAAGGGAAAATACTTTTTATTAAATAGATAAAAACGGAGAGAATTTCTAGTAGACCTACGCTACAAAGAAATATTAAAAATAATGTTTCCTCCAGGAGACATACAATCCCAGACAGAAACTCAGATCTGCGTGAAATGGTTCAGAGACAGTGATGCTCCTGGGACACGTGGAAGAATAAACACAGATTCCTTCCCCGGGGATGTGCCTTCAACCTGCATTACGGCAGCCCTGGTACCTATAATACAGCAGACCGGGTAACTTGAAAACTCTTTTATCAGGAATACCTAGAAAAGACTGGATAAAATGTAACTTGTGTAAATATGTGGCTGAGCATGCAAACAATTAAGGCAAACCCACAGGATTCAAAACCGAAGAAGAAACTAAGTATGAGAGCTGTAAGCCACTGAGCTAATGCTGGGTCTGCCCTGGGTTCCCAGCAACCTGGAAGCCTGGGTTTTAACAGCCTGCCTTGATATGGTCAAGTCAGGGAACTTATAACAAAACCCCCACATAAAACTGGGAAACCTGAAACCATTCTCCACAAGGAAAAATGTCCATCTTGGCTTTGAGAGAAAGGAACAAAATTTATCTAGGGATTCATAACTTTGGACATATGTCTTGTGCAGATTTGGGGGGTGAATTCACACTATCAGTCCACGAACCCCCAAGTCAAATAATCAGCAAATAATCACCAATAGTCTATACAATCTAACCTTTATGAACCAGGCAGAAGCAAATGCTAACCCTTTCTGAAGAGATGTATCCTTAAACCAGCAAAGGCTTCCACAGATAAAGCCCTTCAGAAAATGAGCTCACAAATCCAGATCAATATACACACTTTTTTAAGTCATAGAAAAAACTTGACCCTATGTTTCCTATCCTCCCAAGCTGGTCACTCTTATGACGGCCCTGTTTTGACGTTTCATAACAATTTTTCTTTCCCATCTTATAAGAGAGTTCCTTGCAGGCAAGGATCGTCTCATTGTCCCATGGTGTCTACTACCCTTTAGCTACTTCTCAAATTATCAGATGAAACTCTGACGCCTTCACTTAACTAGCTACGTGCTCTTGAGAAAGTTATACAACCTCTCTACTGCTCTGTTTTCTCATCTTCAAAGACTGCAGGAGCAGGTTGAGTTCCTCTCACACATCTCCTCACTCTGAACTCTCCTTCTACCTTCCTCTTTCATTTTAAAGACCCTTGTGATTACATCGGCCCAACCCGATAACCCAGGATAGCTTTCCCATTTTAAGGTCAGCTGATTAGCAACCTTAATTACATCTGCAACCCTAACCCCCCTTTGACATATAACATTATACATTCACAGATTCTGGGATTAGAATATGGGCATATTTGAGGAGCCATTATTTTGCCCACTGCACTAGCTGTAGCTCGTTTGAAGAAACAAACACTTTTATATACCCCTTGCTGTGTACCAACAGTTAACATTTATTAAGTCATTTATTCCTCACAACAACCCTTTTAGAAGGCTGCTATAATTTTTCCTATTTTTCAGAGGAGAAAACTGAGCACCATGGTCCAAGGAATATGGATGGCCCCTAGGAACTGGAAAAGGCAAAGAAATGGATTCTGCCCTCAAGCCTTCAGATAAGAACTCAGCCCTGCTGACCCTTTGATTTAGTCCTGTGAGGCTTCTGACCGACTGAAATGCCAGAGAATAGATTTGTGTTGTTTTAAGCCTCTAAAGTTGGTGGTAATTTATTATAATGGCAATAGAGGAAATAGTACAGCCAGTTATAAAATTCTTAAACAAATGTTTATTAATAGAGTCCCACAGACCATTCTCCATGCCAAGAAGAAAGGCTCTCATCCAGCATTTCAGAAAACCCTCCATACCCAAACGGGTAACCTTGAAATTTGGTTTCCTCTGGGGATGAAGAGGAAGTCTTCCCCATATTCATGAGATCTCCCAGCCTTGCAACAAGCAGTTCCCACCCCAATTGCTATTCTAGCAAATGACTTACGCTGACCAGATGTGGCTATCATTGAATCAAAAACAAGAGCCATAGGAATGCATACTTGTAAGTGGTGATGTGAAACATAGCATCTCTGTTGCCAATGTTCCGGACCAGCAGGATCCTCTGAGTGCTGTATTTGACAGGGCACGTGGAGAAATTCAGCTTGTCGGGAAAGTCTAGGATGGCTCGGGCGCCTCTGGCTTTGATGGGTACGATGAACTTTTCTCTTTCAGTAACACAGGTCAACATATGGGCGTAATCCTACAGGAGAAGGGACAACCGTTACGAGTGGACACACCGACATGATCAAGATAACTGGGCAAGAAATATGGCCATATGCCAGGCATCCACCAAAAATTTAATATATTCTATGAAACTGTCTCAAGACACTTAATAGTTGTACTTTCATCAAGATACTCCTTTCTGACAGAACAGTTCAGTCGTTAAAACCTACAAGCTATCAGAAAGCTTACGTTTCTTGTGTTTTTCAGATGTTAGGGAGGTAGGGCAGGGGGGTGGATGAGGCACATTTTCGTTTAGATCAGAGGAAGTCCACACCAGTTCCCTCACATCCTCCTTCTAAATGTGCCTAGTCATCCTTCTAACACGTGTTAGATTGATGGCCCCAGTTGGTTTCTAAATGGGAATGCCAGGCTTGAAAATTATGTTACCCAGACATATGGAAGCACAAATTACATTAAGCATATTTGACCCTAGAAAAACCCCACTGAAGCCAACAAGGAAACAGTCTTGTCTGATTACATCAGAATCCTAAAGAGGTAAGTGCCGTTCTTCACTGTTCCTTGGGAGATCAAACCTAGCAGGCAAAGGTTTTGTTGGGAATCAGAAGCTGGAAAGCTCCTGGCACGTATGGAGACTTAACATTTACAGAGGCTTTGAGAGAAAGAACAAAAGCTACTGCTCAACCCAGGATGAGAGGCGATCCAAAGTGATGTGTCCTATCTTATTCTATATGTACATATTCTCTGCCTCCCTCTGTAAGAAACTGGGAACAGTTTAGGAAGCTAATTGAAATATGCACAAGGCAGAAACCGGTTTGGCTCAGTGGATAGAGCGTCGGTCTGCGGAGTGAAAGGTTCCAGGTTCGATTCCGGTCAAGGGTATGTACATTGGTTGTGGGCACATCCCCGGTAGGGGGTGTGCAGGAGGCAGCTGGTCAATGTCTCTCTCTCATCGTTATTTCTAGCTCTCTATCCCTCTCCCTTCCTCTCTGTAAAAAAAATCAATAAAATATATATTTTTTAAAAAGAGTTGAAATATGCACAAGGATGTTTTCAACCCTTTTCATATGTCCAAATGAGGAAGATTTGAAGTTTGGTTGGAATTACACAGGAGTGAGCGAAAATAGTAGGTTTGAATTCAACCACCTCAGGAGGCAGTGGGGCTAACACTGCAGGTCACTGAAATTCAGGTTTCTTTACTGATTTTTTTTTAAACATGTTTTTATTGATTTTAGAGAGAGGTTGGGAGAGGGATAGAGAGATAGAAACATCAATGAGAGAGAAACATCAATGGGCTGCCTCCCTCATGCCCCCTACTGGGACTGAGTCCCAAACCAGGCATGTGATCTGACCAGGAATCTAACCATGGCCTCTTGGTTCATGGGTCAACGCCCAACCACTGCTCAATAGCAATATTGGCTGGGCAGTTTACTGATATTCAAAGACTACAAGAATCCTATATAGTAAAAGGCTAATATACAAATTGTTTTCTCAATGGGGAGTTTGACCAGGGGGTGGCCCCACCCCCAGTTGCCCCCCACCAACCCAGATTGGGGCGGACCAGCCGAACCCCACCCATGCACGAATTCATGCACTGGGCCTCTAGTGTATAAATGCTGAAGGCTGGCAACTTGAGCATTTATTAGATTGTACCTAAGTGCACTGTGCCATTGTGATATTTTTTGAGTTAATAAAGCTATTGTAACAATCATATCCTGCATGTCTTTTTTTCCATACAAACTGTAAACCTACTTTTGCCCACCGCTGTTGTATTTTTTTTCATAATCAATTCATGCATTCATAAGAGATTATGAAGATATTCTTTAAACAGCTCCTTAATAATGTATTCCAATCTCTAGAGTTCTATATTTAATATGGCTATATTAGATTATGTAATATACAATTTATATTACTATACTGGCCTAGAATTAATTCCGGTGTTATGACGGGGTAGTCTTTGTTAGCCTGCAAGCTAAGCAATTACAATACTTCAGCTGATGTACTCCCTTCTGCTGTGTTTAGATGCAGAGCAATGAGCTCTGGTCCTCTACTACAGGAGACTTAGCCATAATTTACTTCATATCCTAAAATTTTATCCTGTGGGCCCTCCCGATGAAACATCCAATCCTTTTTTTTTGGGGGGGGGAGGGTCTGTTAGCCTTCCTTCCAACATGCCTTTCCTCTTAACTTTAAAACACCAGCAGTAGGATATGAAAGTGGCAGGTGCGGCTTTCTGAGAAGTGAAAAGAATGAATTTTGAGTTTTTATTAACTCCGCGAGAGAGAGCAAACCTGGCGATAATTCTGTCCTTTCCGTGCTCAGGCAAAGGCCTCTCAAGGCTGAATTCAAGGTTGGGTGCGACCAGTGGCTAAGCCCCCACAATCCTCTTCCTGCCTTTCCCCCACTCCTAAACTATTGCTTTTAGGTGTGATGGTGGTATTGTGGCTGTGTTAACTTTTTATAGGTCCTGATCTTTTAGAATCAGAGAATGAAGTATTTACAGGTGAAATAATATGATGTATGGGGCTGGCTTCACAGGGAACAGGATCGATGAAGTGAGATTGGTCACGCACTGATAACCTGAAAATCTGGGGGATGATAGTTCACTCTGCCTACCATTCTCTCTAGGTTGTACAAATGAGTGAAAGCTTCTGTAACAAATATATATATATATATATATATATATATATATATATATATATATACATATACATATATATATATTTTTTTTTTTATTTTTTTTTTATTTTTTTTTTTTAACTAGATGCCCAGTGCACAGGTGGGATCCAGCCAGCCCGCCCAGATGGAGCCTATTGGACCAGGCCGGCCACAAGGGAGGGGACATGGGTGTTTGGCTGGCTGGCCCCATCCCCTGGTTGAACTCCAGGTTCAAGTCCCCATTGAGGGGACAATTTGCATATTAGCCTTTTATTAGGCAGGATACTTTCAGATGGCTCCCTATCCTAGATTGCATAATTCCTAAGATCCTTATTCTCCTCAGCCTTGTCTCCTACGCTCTTCCAGCAGCGTTCTCTGCTCCAGCCACATGCCTTCTCACACCTCCTGAGCCTGTTGCCCAGCATGTTTCAGGGCAAGGCCTTTGAACCTGCCCTCTCCCAGACACATATCTTATGTGCACGGCTTGATTTAGTTTTCTGCTCAAATGTAACCTCATCAGACAAGTCTTCCCTGATCCTCCTGTTGAAAGGAAACAAGACTCTCTCATCACTCTTTCTTCTCTATCAGGTCAACACCTGACATTACATTATATGCGTGTTTGTGTATTCATTGTGGAGCACAAACTCCAGAAAGGCCCAAGCTTGTTCTGTTCTCCTAGGATCCCAGCTCACAGAACTGGGCCTGGCACAGTGAGTGAAAGAATATTACTCACTTTTTAATATATTTTTCTTGATTTCAGAGAGGAAAGGGAGATTGGGAGAGGGGGACAGACAGAAATACCAATGATGAGAGAGAATCATTGATCGGCTGCCTCCTGCATGCCCCCTACTGCGGATCAAGTCCACAACCCAGGCATGTGCCCTTGACCAGAATCAAACCCAGGACCCTTCAATCCCCACGCCAATGCTCCATCCACTGAGCCATACCAGCTAGGGCAATATTACTCATTTTTAATATCTTTATTTGGGTATTAAAGTATCAAGAGTTCTTCATTAAGAGACTTCCCAACATCATCATGTTAGCCTTATTATAAAATGATACTGATCAAGTCCAGAAAGCTAAAAAAAAAGTAGTGATATGACTCAAGAAGACATGAAACAAAATGAGTGAGAAGCAATCCTATTATATAAGACTCTCAAACATCTTCCTCTTGACTGAAATGACAAGAAAGTTAACATCTAATATGCTCATGGCACAAAAAGATATTCAAGCCCTTTTTTTTTTTATAAGCTTTTGCTTTTATCATCGGTAGGCCATTCTCAAGTTGGGATCGCATCTTTATATTTTCTTGGCATGAACTTTTAATTACCTGTCTCACTTGACGAATATTTACTGTGTGTCAGGCACTGTGCTAGGCACTGGGGTTACAGGGGTGACCCAGACAGAACCAGAAAGGGCCAATTACAGGCAGATAGAACACAAAATCCTTAACTTTTTTTTTTTTGCAACAAACCTTGTTGATTGTGGAAAACTTTATGATATCTAAACTTTAATTCGAAATGCTGGCAATATATTTTATTATTGCCATTTTAGATAACATTAAACATGTTAACATTTTTTTATTTTTCTTGCACCATCATTTTTTTAAGTTTCGTAGTAACATATCAATAAAACTGTTTTGACAATAAATTAGATATTTTCTTAAAACATGACAATAAAATTGCATCCCTTCACATTTATTCACTGTAGCCATCTCCCTATGATAACACTGTAGTAAACAGATGCTTCCTTAAGCCCAAGGAAGCACCCACTTTTGCTTTACTACAAAAGCCCATTCTTTTTCAAACACCTTTTAATAGTAAATATGCAAATTTAAGAGGTCAAGAAAATGCCAGGCTCCAGGATTTTGTAGTATTATGAAAGCATTGACTATTATATTTCAATGACATGTACACTAGGATTATTAGATTAATAACATATCCAATCCTTATTTTAAAGTCTGTGTGAGAAGAGATAAGGAAAGCTGAAGTAAATTTGCTGCACCTGTTATCTGGGTAGTTGGCATTCTTAACAAGTTCAATCCCTAGGGGGCCAGATTAATAGATAACGGGGGGGGGGGGGATATGTGAATTGCATTATCATCTCTGACATGCTAATATACCCGGGTGCTGGAAATCCGATTGAAAGGGGACTGGCCTATTAAGCTATGGCATGCTGCAATTTACATATCTCACCCTCCAGATGTGAGCAGGGTAAATGAGAATGGAGTATGCTCAGATCGGCAGGGGATAAGGAGGGAAAAATACATATCTGCGTTGGCTATCAATGTGGCCAACTGAAGAAGAAAAAATGACACAGTGAAAAGATGAACTTGGGTTTTTCCTAAAATAAACCTGGCTCCGGTTAGTTCTCGGCTGCATCCTGGAGCAGCACTAAGACAGCATGACCAACCTCAGAGGGTCGTTCTGTACATGGCCTTGCTGGCTTCCCAACAGCCCGAGTGGAAATGAAGGTGCCCAGGGACTGGAAACTCTGCTGACGGTGCATGTGTAACAAGATCTTTGCAGAGAAGAGTAAAGGAGCAGTAACAGCAAGAGCTTCTCCTACACACACACACACACACACACACACACACACACACGCCATCAGTCTTAGTCAGCAAAAGGAGAAATCACTATGTCCTTAGAAAAACAAATTCTGTAAATCATATTATAGCTTCGAGCCCATATCCAAACAAAATCTTAATGTACTCAAAATCAAATAATTGCATTCCTCTAGGGAGCCATTATTCTCACTTTATGCCTCTGCATACACGCTTGTAGCCTCGGATAGCTTTCAAAGGCTTAGAAGAAGAAGCAGTTAAAACAGGGGTTTCCCAGAAAACACGCAATGTTGGTGAAATGGGATGATAAAAGGTAATAAAAAACCTGGGAGTAAAAATAAGCAGCCACAAAATATAGCTAAGTAGTAATCCTCAATGGAATGTTAGCATTCCGTATTTATAAGGTAAATACAAACATACCTAAAATACATTTCCATTATATATTTGCTGTATAGATAAAAGTAATAAAAACTCTCTTTTCTTTAAGGTTTTGACTAGGGAAAAGTTAAATCATATACAAAGACTAGTATAACACATCCCACATACCCATCACCAGATTCAACAATTACTAATATTCTGCCACTCTGGCTTTCTCTATACCTTAATCCATTTTCCCTTCTATTATTATTATTCTATGTCTGTAGTTTCAAGGTAAAGTTTGGATATATTGGAAAGCATAAATATTAAATGTGCAATTCTGACAAATGAGTTTATCCACGCAACCCACACACCTATCACGATCTAGAACATTCCGCCTCCTCAGAAAGCTCCATGTGTCCTTTGCTCAGGCAGACTACCTGCAGGGAGAACAATGCTTATCCAACAGAAGACATATTTCCTCCAGCACAGAAAAAAAAAAATTAAGGAAAGCCTACTCTTCTGGTCCAGCGAGCTTTCTAGATATTTCAATATGCACAAAGGCTTTGTAATCTGCTTAAGCTCCTCGGCTTCCTACAGAAATGTCAGGGTGGGAATTTGATACCCAAACTAAATCCAGGTGCTGTTCTCTTATCGGTTACTATTCAGACAGAGAGCCTCAAGGAAAAACAAGGACTTCAATTGCACTTCACAAAGGGCATTACTTCTGGAGCTATTTATCTTCTCGTTTATTTCAACAGTACCCCAAACAAAAATGCCAGGCCCACAAGCACAACCTGAGAAATAGTGATATTACAAACTGGCAAAATTAGCCTCCCAGTGTTATTTATTATAATGGCGTTTCTAACCACTCGCTACAGGGATACATACTTGGCAGATCACCTTTTTAAATGCTCCATCCCTGCTCCCCAGAAAAGTAGGAACAATAGCAATAAACAAGAATACTGGAAATGACATGGACAGCAGCTAGTAAGTATTAGTGATGGAAAAGCAAGGGTTCAAATCTAGTTCTCTTGGACCCCATTATGCTCTTTTGATTCCAACCATAATGGCATGTCACGAACACCATTAACATTATATAGTACCTGATATTTTGTCATGCCTATTTAAACCTTGATTTTTGTCCTAACTCCTTTGATCATGCAGGTAAAACCCGTAAGTCCCTACTTTGGTCCATAGAGAGGAAAATTCAACCCACAATGATGTGCTCTTGGAGAAGAGTTAAGGAGGAAGCCTCCTCTCTCAGTTCCCCTTAGCTGGTCCTTCCTTCTGGGAGGAACTGAAGTTTCTCCAAGCGAGGAGAGCCTAAGAATGAGTTAGATTCTCCACAGCTCCGTGGTGCCAAGGGGAAATGGCCTCTTTTGCCCACAACCAAGGTACGTGCCCTTGACCGGAATCGAACCCAGGACCTTTCAGTCCACAGGCCGACGCTCTATCCACTGAGCCAAACCGGTTTCAGCGGAAATGGCCTCTTTTGAATTCAGGCTCTTTCCATCCTGCCTGTGTACACATGCTCTGAGCTCTAGCTTCTCCACTCATGCTTGGATGAAGCTACGGGTAAGGTCAGCCCCTCACCAAGGACCAGTTATCTAGCAATCCCTTACCAGGCAAACAGGAGGTAGTCCCTTCTAGGCCTCAGGTCTGGCCTCATTAATTAGACAGATACTGTGATCAATATTTGGATCTTAGGTCTCTTTCCTAAACTAGTTCGAATCTGGGGAGGAGGAATGTTAAGAGCCAGGATCCCAAACTTCCAAGGAGCCAGAGTCTTTATCCTTTGTCTTAGCTCACCGCACCTGGACCCCACCTCTTCCTTTTTGGTATCCCTCTAACTGTACAGTCAAATATAAGTATGCTGGGGAGGAGAGGAGAGGGGAGAGGGGGTCATTTAGAAGGATTACCCTTCGTTACATCCTGGCTACTTACAGCTCATATAAGCCCTCAACACTCCTTGACAATTGTAACCTCATTCCCAGTGGAATGCCATCCCCCCTCTCACCCCATCTTATCACTCCTCTCACCGCCACCCACCACCAACAGCAACACCCACCACCACCACTACGTATACCATCAACAACAGCAATATCAACAACACAACTACCACCACCAAACCAATATCACGACCACCACCACCACAACCAATACAGCTAATACCCCTACTAACACCACCAACACCAACACCAACACCAACACCAACACCAACACCAACACCGACCACCACTTCCTTCATGTTCACAACTGCAAACAGCCAGTGAAAGCATGCAACCAATTTCTTGCCAGCACTGCCGTTACCTTGTTCTCCTCTGGAGTGAAGAGGATCCGGAATATGGATGGCACTCCCGGAGCCACTTTGTGGCCAATGTCTTTGGGACTGATCACTTTAAAGTACGGCGAGCTTTCCTCCACGACTTTCACCATCCTTGGAATCTGCAGAAAAAATGCAGAGCGAAGACTGTGCGAGTGAAGGTGCAGAAGGGGAGGTGCAGGCCTTGTAGTTAAACAGGACATCTCCATCTACTGCCCACTGGCCATGCGACCTTGGTCAGGCCTGAGCTTCAGTTTCATCAATAATTGTAATAGGAGACAACGGGCCCCACCTCCATCCCAGTGTCTTACACAAAGTAAGCACTCCATGCATTTTAACTTTAAGTTTCATGAACATTATTATTATTACTTGTTTTGTTGTTATTTTAAGGCTTTGTTCATTTTATTATTTAAATGTGACCATCTTTAAAAATAAATAAATAAAATAATAAAATAAATAAAATAAAATAATAAAATAAAATAAAAATAAAAGTGACCACCTTCAGAGACTAACTGCTAAGACCCCACTCACATAGAAGAGTTGAGCTGGATTTCCCAACATCTGAGAATCGCTCTTGGAGAAGAAACCACACTTGCTGCGCTCCCGCTGTGGCCATCACTGCACACGAGGTGCCACAGAATCCTCCCTGTAAACTCTGAGCTTCATTCTGACTCCCATTCTACAGATGAACAACCAGACACTTGCCCTATTGCCACAGCTTCACCGAGCCATGGTGTTCAAGTCAAATCCCAGCCTAACCCTGCCTTCCCCTCTCTGAGATTATACTAAGTAAACACCACTGTAAAGCAAGAACAACAACAACAAAAAAACACAACAGTATCATGTCCCCAAGGCCAGTCTCCGAACAGCTTCCAACAGTTTTATTCTTTTAAAGTCTTATTTCTCTGCCCTGCTGGCCTTGCCTAGAGGGGGAACTCTATCTCAGTTAGCCCAAGTAATAAAGGAAATGCAGTTATGAGGAGAATGAGGGTGGTCAGGGGTGGAGGTCTAGGGACACATGGAAAGGGAGACAGGATTGTGTTTTTTTAAAGACTAAAATGGGCATCAGGAAAGTTAACTATAGTCAAGTCTGACCCAGATGCCTCAGGTGTAAAAGAAGGGAAAAAGACCTCCCAACCTCCTCTCAAAGCTGTCACCAGATGGGGAAGGGGAGAATAAATGCAAAGAGAATTCAGACAGGTTAAGACCAGAGAGCGAATAGATAAGGAAGAGATGTGTGCAAACTCGATAAGCATAGAAATAGCTTTGCTGTAAGGGAATAAATGTACCATGACATTTATGATGTGTTGAGTGATACTGTGTAAGCTTGCTGGGACTACTGTAATAATAGCATAACTGTGAACTAAAAACTAGGAAGGAAAACTACAGTAACACTAATATAATAATAATAAAAGTAATAATGATATAGTGCTTACTACATGACAAGCACTGAACTGCATACACTCATCTCATTTACTATTCCAAACAACTTATTGAGATGGGTGTTATTATTAACCCCATGGCCCAGGACAGGGAGGACAGTTGAGGGCTACCAGGCTGGTAGGGGAGGGCAGTTAGGGGTGACCAGGCTGGCAAGGCAAGGCAATTAGGGGTCACTGAGCCAGCAGGGGAGGGCAGGTGGGAGCAACCAGGCTGGTAGAGGAGGGCAGTTGTGGGGAATCAGGCCTGCAGGGAAGGGCACTTAGAGGTGACCAGGCTGGCAAGGGAGGGTAGTCAGGGGTGACAAGGCCTGCAAGGGAGCAGTAATAATGGTATAGTGCAGCAGTTCTCAACCTGTGGGTCGAACCACTAGCAGGGTCACCTAAGAACATCGGTAAATACAGATATTTACATTATGATTCATAACAGTAGCAAAATTACAGTTATGAAATAGCAACGAAAATAATTTTATGGTTGAGGGTCACCACAACATGTGGAACTGTACTAAAGTGTCAAGGCATTAGAAAGATTGAGAACCACTGGTATAGTGCTCACTACGTGATAAGCACTGAACTGCATAGGGCAGTTGGGGGCAACCAAGCTGGCAGGGGAGGGCAGTTAGGGGCAATCAGGCCAGGAGGGAAGCAGTTAGGCATCAATCGGGCTGGCAGGGGAGTGATTAGAGTGTGATCAGGCTGGCAGACAGAAGCAGTTAAGAGCAATCAGGTGAGCAGTTGGGAGCCAGCAGTCCTTGATTGTGAGAGGGATGTCCGACTGCCTTCAAGGGGTCCCAGATTCAAGAGGGTGCAGGCTAGGCTGAGGGACACACCCTCCTCCCTCTATCCCCATGCACGAATTTTGTGTACCAGGCCTCTAGTCTAATATAAGGAAGGGCCCTGGGAGCAACTCACCCAAAAACAAGCCTGCCAAGCCAAGAGAAATCTGTCTGCTTGTTGCTGGCTGAATTTCCCTAGGTGAGAACTATCCTTTCACGGGGTCCAAACCTATAGCAACATCTTACCAAGAGTCCTCAGGTTATCCATGAGAACTGAGTGACCTTTGGCAATAAAACTTACATATCACATGCCCTTTATCTTTGACCTATTCATATAAAGCAATAGGCAAGCCTTTCTTGTTTAGGGCCAGGGAAGAGTGGCCCAAACTACCCTTTACACTAGCTCCTCTCTGCCTTTCAAAGTCTAAGAAAACTCAAGCAAAAGTAAAAAAAAAAAAAAAAAAAAAAAGTAATGTAGAAAGGGAAAAAATAGAACTGGAAGTGAGATTCTAAATTATTTGGCAGCCCTATATGAAAAGAGAGAGTCCTAAAGTCTATGCAATATATCTCTTCTTAAGGAACATGATCCTGAACACCTGGATTCTTTTTCTTCTCTATGCCTACACTTAGCTTCTAATCCTTGAACTTCCCTTGCTAACACTCCTGCAGCAAAAAAAACAAATATGCCATTTTCTCCAGAGTCTGTCTTTGCTGTCACTAAATCATCCCACTGATCTTTGAAGTATCACTGATTCATTTAATGAGCTACTGTGACGTATATAACTGCAAGTCTTCCCATTTGCCTTGGATTCTTGCATAGCCTTTACTTATCTCCCCTTGGTCAGGAGAATGCCCCTGGTTAGTGGGAATTTGCCTCCACATTCTTAGATTCTATAAATATTTTTACTTGTCTTTTACACCTAAACTTGAGCATCTCTCAGATGCCTTTCCTCCCTATCTGATTATCTTTCATACTTACTTGCGCTTTATACTGAAAGGGAGGGCAGTTGGGGATGATCAGGCCTGCAGGGGAGGGCAGTCAAGGAAATCTTCAGGCATTTAATACCTTTTCTTTAAATAAATCCTAATTTATCTTTGAAGAAAAAGGCATAGGATGGGGAAGAAATCCTCAGCTGCAATCCCAAAGTGACAAGGTATAAACAGTGAGAGAAGCTACCCAAAGCTATTTGTAAACAAATATCTCCCATCCAAGTACTAACCAGGCCCGACCCTGCTTAGCTTCCGAGATCAAGTGCGTTCAGGGTGGTATGGCCGTAGACGGTAAACAAATATCTAAAGGCTTCTTAGGTAGAAAGAAGGAGAAAGGAAGGGGGGAAAGGGATATCCATTTTATTTTATTTTTTTAATTAAAAGAAAATAGAGCCGAAACCAGTTCAGCTCAGTGGATAGAGAGTCGGCTTGAAGACTGAAAGGTCCCAGGTTCGATTCTGGTCAAGGGCATGTACCCTGTTAAGGGCACATCCCCAGTAGGGGGTTGTGCAAGAGGCAGCTGATCGATGTTTCTCTCTCGTCGATGTTTCTAACTCTCTATCCCTCTCTCTTCCTCTCTGTAAAAAATCAATAAAATATATTTTTAAAAAGAAAATAGAATTTGTAGACTATAAAAGCATTGGCTGAATGACTGCAATTCAGATGAGTTTACACCTTCAATTAGGGATTGGAGGCTCTAAAGCAAAGTATTTAAGCATGAGAAGTAATCACCCTGTCTTAAATGAAAGCCTAGCCCACTGGACATATGTGAGAACTTCATGACATTCACCTAGCCAATTCTTCACTCAACAAAACGTTAGTGCACATGTCGGTAGCTTTCGGTTTGCTGGGCACTACGCAGGGATTGAACATACATATAGCCACAAACTAACTAACAGAGTCCTGGCTTCATTAACACTACAGTCAAAGGGCACGTTTTCATCTATTCTCCTAGGTCTATCAGATTAAAGAACTTATCGAAGGTCCTACGTGATCCCAATTTAATTTGTTCCTTTGTATGTATTCATGAAAGATACAGCCATTGCATTGAACGTACTCACTTTGTCATTGTTCCTCAAAACCAGTGGAACTTCATAGACTTCACAGGGAGTGTAGTTCTGAAATACAATTTCTGATGGAAAGGGCTGGAATAATGCCTGGTCCAGGTCAATTTCTGAAAACTTTAGTTGGAAAAGTAAATTAATCATAGAGTCACACAATGCAAAAATGACTAACAACAAAAGAAACACTCAAAAAGGGGTAGTTACCAAACAATAATTGGTATAATTGTTAAGGTTATTTCATCAACTTCTTTAATACAAAAAAGCAAGTTTGGTCCTCGTTTAAAAAAAAAAAAAAAATAGAGGCTAGCTTCCTAATTTCAGCTCAGAGGAGGCTTAAGTACAACTTTCCCTGGTTGTCTAAAATCCAGGTTCGTCTGACACCAGTCGCCTCCAACATGCTGCCAAAATTCAGCCCCAATGAGTTCAAAGTCACATATCTGAGTTGCACCAGTGGGGAAGTTAGGCCAGGTCAGCCCTGGTTCCCAAGAGAGTTCCCCTGGGCCTGTCCACAAAAATATTTGCTAACAAAATCCCCAAAGCAGTAGGTGATTACAATGAAACTGACCATTCAGAACAGACAGGCCCAGAGGGACGTAGTACCTTTTACATCTGCCCTGATCATCAAAGCCCTCAAAGCACCTCCAAGAGACAGAGAGAAGCAAAAGGCATTAAGTACAGAGGAAAGTGATGAGACTGGCAACATTGCCAGACAGATGCAGCACTGATCTTTAGCTAGAGAACTCTCTGGAACCATTAAAGAGATCCTGAGGACTGCTCAGACTGGGGGCTGCAATGCTGATGGCTGGCACCCACATGACATTATAGATGACATCAACAGTGAGGCAGTGCAAGGCTGCCTGGCTAGTTAAGAACTACAGCGGAAAATACTTCAATTAAAGATCATTTATAAATAAATAGCAAAGACTAATTAGAACACTAATCCAAAACTTCCATTTCTGGTAGTGAAGAATAAGGTAATTTGAACCAATTACACTATGAGAATAATAAAAAAAAAAAAAAGTGTTATGTCAGCAAATACCTCTTTGGAGGCACTAAAGAACTAAAAATATGGTATAATCTAATATTAAAACTATGAATTACCTCCAATTAATAGCCTGTATACTATCCAACAAGTTCCGAGTACTGCCATATTTCCTTAAAAATTCGGAATATTCCATGATGCCCTGCAATCTCATGGCTGTACACTGAGACACGTTGAAACACAGTTTGAAAACCAAAAATGTAAGCATCCACTTCAGTAATTTAGAAAATCAACAGCAAACATCTATAATAATAAAAGTGAAATATGCAAATTGACCAAATGGTTGAACAGTGGGACGACCATCAGGACAACCTTCTGGGCAAAGCCAGGGCTGCGAGGGCCAAGCCTCTTGCATAAATTAGTTAAAAAATAAAACCCAAACAAAAAAAGTGATATAACAAAAACAATAGCAGAAATTAATGAAATGGGAAGTAACTATACTATATAACAACAAAGCCAAAAGTTGTTTTTAAAAACACTAATAAAATTAATAAAATACCCAGTGAATCTGATTTAAAAAAAAATAAGACAAAGAGCTCCTTAAATAATGAAAATAGGAACATTACTACAGAACCTAAACCAAGGAAGATAACAAATGGATACTATGTCAATAAATGTGAAAGGTTAGGTAACAAAAGTAAAAATTCCTAGAAAAATACAATTTATCAAAATTAGCACAAGATGAAATAGAAAGTTGAAATAGTTCTATGCCTATTAGAGGTGGTGGATTTGTAAGGATAAACCTTTCATAAAGAAAATTCTGGCCCTCACAACTTTACAAGCAAATTCTAGCAAACATTTAAAGAAGATATGACTCAAATACTATAAAATTCTACCAAAGATAAGAAAAACAAAAATTAAGTATCTCCCAACTCAGTTGACGATGTTAACATAACTGTCATAAACCTAAAAAGGGCAGTAGGAAAAGGGAAAAATTATAGGTCAATGTTACTCATGAACCATAGATTCAAAAAAAGAAACAAAACATTAGCAAACTAAAAGAAATAATAAGTCAATGACTGCATTGGGTTTATCTCAGAAATTCAACATTCAAAACTGATCAAAAAGAGACAAAATTGTCATTTTCCCCAGAAGAAGAAAAAAAACCTGTTTATTTAGAAAATTCAAAATAACCACCTAGATAAAACTATTGGAATTAATAAGTGATTTATCAAAGTCACTGAGTATAAGATCAACATGCAAAAAAAGAATTATACTTATATGTACTATCTATGAACATTTAAGAAATAAATTTATAAACAATACCATTTAAAGTAGCATCCTAAAGCTGCATAGGAATAAGACCAATAAAAAAATATACAAGGCCTTTATCCAAAAAAAACTAAAATATCACTAAGAAGAATTTTTAAAGATCTATATAAAATACAAGAATATATCATATTTTTGAATGGAAAGACTCTATACTTTAAGAAAGTCAAATACTCCCCATATTGATATAAAAAATCCATGCAATCCAATAAAAGATTCCCAGTAAATTTTTCTTTAAAATTAAAAAAGTGATTATAAAATTTATCTGGAAAAGCAAAAGATATCTCAGTTATAGGTTCCCTAGGCCTGGTAGAGGCCAGTGCAGGAGGTGACCAATGAACTTGTATGCAATTATGAATAGTCCATGGACACAAACAATTGATACTAAAGATCTGGGGCAGGGGCAGGGTGGACTGGAGAGGGTCATAGGGGGAAAAAGGGGACATATATGATACTTTCAACAATAAAGAATTAAAAAATAAATAAAATAAAAATAATGAGTTTTAAGAGAAATACACATACATAAAACTCAAAGTAAAGGACACAGAAGATAACCTGGTGTATATAATTACAATGAAATGAAAATGACAGAAAGTTAAAAATGGATTGGAGGGGACATAGAAGATATAGAAGGGCAGAAAAAGAAGGTCCAACAGGTTCATATTGATATTCCTAAAGAAAGGAACCCAAAATGGCATGAATAAGAAAACTTTCTGGAAATAAAATAAAGGTTCAACCTAATAAAATTATTGGACATTAAATAAAAATAAATAATCTTTGGGCATACAACCTAAAAGATTAAAATACCTATCTTTTACCTTGGGGAAAATCAAGCTGGCTTCGTACCTTTACATGCCATTATTTAAAGCCAAAAGGTTGTGAGGAAAATGCCTGAAAAGCTCTTATGGAAAAAATATGGGACCCAAGAATTTTATACCTAACAAAACTGTAGTCCAGTATAAAGGCCATAAGCAAATATTATCAAATATATAAAATCAGGGAAATCGTTTCCATAAGTTCTTCTTGAAGAAATTAATAGAGGATAACTGTCATCTAACTAAGAGGGGAAAAAATGAAACTCCTGAAAATAAAGTAAAAATAACCAGCAGGGTTGAGAAAAGAAAGAGAAGATGAGATGTGGTATACTTATTTCCTCATTATTCATAGCAGGAGTCACATTAAAACACACACAAAAGCAGTATACACAGAAAAATACACACAGTCTGGTCTTAGTTATGCTATGAGAAAGGAGCAAATAGCCCTTAATTAGGATAAATTAGCTTTGGGAAAAGCCATGTTCCCTGCCCTCAAAGTTAGAGTGTGGTTATGGGGAAGAGAATAAATAATAATTAAAGCTAGCAGGGCTGAGAGGAAGAGCAAATTTTTATGTAGATCCTTGACGGGAGAGGCAATGGTATTTTAGCAAGAGCAAAAGAGCCTCAGGGACGCATTCATCATGTGGGAAATAAGTCTGAAAAACTCTCAGGGAGAGCGAGGAACCCTCTGAGAGGAGGTTGATCTCCAGCAGTTCAACTGATGGAAGTTCGTACCATAATTTCTACACAAAAAGTGAAGCATATAATTCAAGAAGTTAATTAAAAAGTAAGAAAGACTTCATTTTACTAGTATAATAATATGCTCCTAAAGCCTAGACTATCTGGTTTATAGTAGAATACTAGAGGCTTGGTGCATGAATTCGTGCACAGTTTGGGTCCTTCTGGGTGGCCTGCAGGGATCTGGCCAGAACCCACAATCCAATGCTGCGTGCAGCTCTTAACTGCTGCTCCTGCTCATCCCGGCCCCACTGGGCCTGCCACGATTGATCAGGAGAGGCTTGTCAGCCATGAGCTCTGTGTCTGGTGCCCTCCCAAGGGGAGTGGCCTGTGGGATTGGGCTGAAAACAGCACTCCGACATCCCCCAAAGGGGTCGTGGATTGCTAGAGGGCACAGGCCAGACTGAGGGACCCCGGTGGGCCAGAGAGGGTTCTTGGCAGGGCTCCAGGGCATATCTGGCCCATCTTGCTCAGTCCCAACTGGCCAGACCCCAGCAGCAAGCTAACCTACCAGTCAAAGCATCTGCCCCTTGGTGGTCAGTGCACGTCATAGCAATCAGTCATTGCCCTGTTAGGGTCAATTTGCATATTCCCCTTTTGTTATATCGGATGAGCCAGAATATACAACAAATGCCTACTTTAATAATTCCACTTTTCTTCTAGTGACGACAGCTCAGGGAAGGAGAGATTTCTTGTGCTAAGAAGATAACTTAATTAGGCTTGGCTAATATAATTCTTGGAATTACTCCTAATCTGTAAATAACAGTGTCCAGAAGTAGCTAAGAAAGGTGAGTAGTCAAAAGTTATTTGTACTAATGAATTGTAATTCTCTCCATATCAAATCACAGGTATCAAGATCAACAGAGGAAGAAAAAGAATGTATTAAGTAAAAATAAAAATAAAAGATTAGCCCAGAAAAAAAAAAACTATCACTTAGTGACTGTTCACATTATATCCTGGCCAGTGTTGTTCTATGGTTAGAGCTTCTCCTGTGCACTAGAGGGTCAGAGGTTTAATTCCCGATCAAGGGCACATACCTGGGTTGCAGGTTTGATCCCCAACTCTGGTCAGGGCATGTGGGGGAGGCAACCAATCAATGTATCTATTTCACATCTCTCTCTCTCTCTCTGTCCCTCCCTCCCTCCTTCCTTTCCTTTCTCCCTCCCTCCCATTCTTTTTAAAAAAGCATTGGGAGGCAGGGGAGGGGGCTTTTCACATTATGCCAGTGCCTACTTTCCATGCTAGGAAGACAAATGCTAGAAAAAGAGGAAGTAGCTACCTTTTGATGTGTTGCTTCCCCCATATCTAAAAGCTCGATGATCTGCGGTCGACACATCAGCCGTGTGTTTGCCAGTCTCTGTTCTGTGGTCAGGGACATCTCCTTCAGGAACTCCGAGGGTGTTAGCTGGAATTTCAAACAACAGGGGCCAAAGATTAATAAATGGCTGCACTGAAAACGTGTTTTCATAAGTTCCAGTCATGAATAATTTGTGTTTTCAGCTTTCAGGATAATTCTGGAATGCCACTAAGTTCCCTTATAAAATATTTAAAATAACTAAATAATATAAGAGAAGCAGCCGTGTCCTTTTGAGCTCTTTGGAAATAATTTGAAATGACAGGTAGTTACTGTTTCCTTATGAGCTTGAAGGAATCACACGAAGGAACTTGGGGGGCAGAGGGAGTCCACATTCCTGCATAAGAACATGTCCAAAGAGCTTAACATTCATGCTCGGAAGAGGCATCTGAACATAAAGCCCTAACTTTCTAAGATCACTTTCAGGCCTCAGAGATAAGTTTGAAACACATCTATTTCTCCACTGAAATTACATTAACTATCAGGTTAATTCAGGTTACAGAGCAACCATACAAAATGTACAGGGTTTAGAAAGTGTGATTACACTGCTTAGGAATAAGTCTGAACTTTTTAGAAATCACAAAAGTGCATTTAGACCTTGGTTTAAAATATAATAGATCTAAGCTATCCAATGGACGCAAAACTCTAGGGAGGGAGGACATGTATGGGAGTGAGGGGTGGAGGGCGCCAATGGTAAGATATGTACACATATAATACCTTATTAAAAAATGAAATAAAATAAAATAAAACAGATCTAAGCTAATCATCAGAGCTGGCAGTCAGTCATATTCGCATACCCAAATGAGAACACAAAATGCTTTTAATACCTTCTAAAGTTATGAGGTGAAGAAAATGGAACCTATTGTTTATCATTTAAGTAAGTGAACAAGGGCTTGGTTATCCAGGACTAATCACTATTACATAGTTGTTGTGCTGCGAGGTTTTCATGCTTTCCAAAACCTACACTTTATTTTATTGATTGATTGGCTGATCGACTGAATTATAGGAAAGCGTTTTTTAAATTAAATTTGTAATGTTAAGATTTGCATGCAGTTTAGTTGTAAGAATACCGAAAGAAACCAGGTACTATTTGCCTAGTTTCTCCAAAAAATAGTGTCTTGCAAAACTATAGTACAGCCTCACAACCAGAACACTGACATTGATACAGTCAGGATGCAGAGCATCTCCATCATCCAGGGCCTACTTTAGCTGCAAGGAGATCACAGTCATCGGCCGCAACATAATGCTTCAGTGTGTGCCAAGACTTTGAAATACAATCACAGTGATATTATTTAGGTGATTTGTTTTGCCTTGGGTTAAAAATCAATGCTTCTCAAATTCCCTATGAAATTATTTTCTGTGATTTAATCCATTTAAAATGAAGGTATATTTCTAATATAGCTCCCAACTTGGTTTTTTAGTGTGTGTGTGTGTGTATGTGTGTGTGTGTGTGTGTGTGTGTGTGTGTGTTTATTGCAACACAGAATACTAAAATGTTAAGAGGTATCAGTTGTGCTGTGATTTAAATAAAAATAGCAAAGTTGAGCCCTGGCCAGTTTTCTCAGTGATTAGAATGTTGGCCTGTGGACCGAAGGGTTTTGGGTTCGATTTCCAATGAAGGGCATGTATCTTGGTTGCAGGTTCCAGGTAGTGGCATGGACGGGAGGCAACCAATTAATGTGCCCTTCTCACATCAATCTCTCTCTCTCTCTCTCTCTCTCTCTCCTCCCTCCCTTTCACTTTCTCTGGAAATCAATGGAAAAAATATCCTCCTCAGATGAGGATTAAATAATAATAATAATAATAATAATAATAATATAGTCGTATAAGCAAAAAGGTCAAGAGTTACCTTAAATATGAAACCATAACCACCACAAAAGAGAATAATATATCTTATTTTTCTAATTAAAATGCAATTTGAGTCTCGTTTTTAAAATCCAGTGAATACTATATCTAACACTGTAAGTTGTTACTGAAATTTTCTACAGCTTGTAGTTTATAATTCAATTCTCACTAAATCATTATAATTCATTAACAATATAAATGTTTTAATATTGAATGTCAACTATTATTTTAAAATAAAATATATATTTTCATTTTAAAGGAAAGGAAAATTATGCATTTTTCTTATAATACACTCATTATTTTAATATTCTATATCCTACAAATGTACAGCCAAAAATAGCTTTTGCCAATTAACAGGCAATAGAGTGTTCAGGTTAAAACCTATAAATTTCTGATATATGCTTGTTTTTGAACTACACAAATGACAGCTTCATAGGGTTCAACTACATATTCGGAAAACTGAATAATTTGCTTTCATTGTCTTATTTCAACTGCTTGACTTAAGCATTTCAAGCCTCTCTTTCAATGTATGCAATTTCACAAACTTCGGAGGCTCTCAAAGGTGCCTAGGCTCTGCCACAATTCTCTCTAGTATTCTCATAATGCCAATTAGCAGCTGTCATCCTCCTGAGATTCTTACATTAAGAATTTTACACTGAGATCCTTTGATACATTACCATTTGGTTTACATCTTCTTCTTTAACCACCTTTGGACTCAGGGGTGGCAAAACCTTGCTTTGGAATCCTTTGAGCATTCTGACTAACCCCATCTGCACAGCCCCCATGGACTCCTCGAGTCTTCTACTTGTCATTTTTAGTTATTTCCTTTGCTCACCTAAGAGTGAAAGAAAGTTTGAAAACAAATACAGTTAATTCCTGAATACAGGTCACTACTTTTTATTTTTAAACTTTTTCAAATACCGGAAGGTTTAAAAATACTGATCTTCAAAATTACATCAAATTCTTGGAACAAATACCTTAACCAAAGGAGTCCATTCCATGTAACCTGCCTAAACTTATCTCAAAGCTTACAATCCCTTTTAGAAAAACCAAGTGATTCTGGACAAAACAGAAGACATGAAAATACAAACAGTTCTTACATTTGGGCACTTTTATCATTCCTAGATAAGTAAACACTATTCAATAAATATACTTCATCATTTGCTATTTTATCTACTATTTTATCAATTTGACAATTGTCTCTCATGATCTCTTTCAACAGAAACACACACACACACACACACACACACACACACACAAAACACATAAGGGTTTAGGTCTTCACAGCTGGACAGAGACTCAAAAAAAGGCAGCATGAGATGAGATGGGAAATAGGAAGTTTCCAGAAAAGTTGTAATGCTTAGTCATAAATAAAGCATTAAACAGCCACCCAATATCTACAAATCAAAGAAATATGACATCTCTCCATTGCATATCCTTCTTTCTACTTCTAGCAGGACACTTGCAACTTTGGAGGCCATTTATGACTAAGTAGAGATTTCTGTTTTCAGTAATAGCAGGCTAAGTTATGCATCCCTTACCAAAACATAAACAAACAAACAAAAATCCTAACTAAAAATGTTTGATATAATATCAAATAAGAAACTTTAAAATCATTAAAAAGTTCCCAAGACAATAAGGCATTACCAGACCAAAATGTAAAGAAAAGAGGTGCATAAAGGAAAACAGATTTGAATGAAAATGTAATAAGGACCATGTTCATGGATTGGTAGAATCAACATCATCAAAATGTCCATACTTCCTAAAGCAATCTATAGGTTCAATGCACTCCCCATTAAAATACCAATGGCATATTTCACTGACCTAGAAAAAACTCTCAAAAAGTTCATTTAGAACAATAAAAGACTCCAAATAGCCACAGCAATCCTGAGAAAGAAGAGTAAAGTAGAAGGGATCTCAATACCAGACTTCAAGCTGTATTACAAAGCCACTGTTCTCAAAACAGCCTGGTACTGGCACAAGAACAGACATATAGATCAATGGAATCGAATCGAGAACCCAGATATCAACCCAAATCACTATGCTCAATTAATATTTGACAAAGGAAGCACGAATATACAATGGAGTCAAGACAGTCTCTTCAATAAATGGGAAAATTGGACAGACACATGCAAAAGAATGAAACTAGATCACCAACTTACACCATACACAAAAATAAACTCAAAATGGATACAGGTCTTAAACATAAGATGGGAAACCATAAAAATACTAGAAGCATCCACAGGCAGCAAAATCTCAGACATATGCCAAAAGAACTTCTTCACTGATACTGCCCCTAGGGCAATGGAAGCTAAAGAGAAAATAAACAAATGGCACTACATCAAAATAAAAAGCTTTTTTACAGCAAAAGAAACCATCAACAAAACGACAAGAAAGCCCACGGTGTGGGAGAACATATTTGCAAATGTTACCACTGATAAAGGTTTAATCTCCAACATCTACAAACAGCTTATACAACTAAATAAAAGGAAGATGAATGATCCAATTAAAAAATGGGCAATGGACCTAAATAGAATATTTTCAAAAGAAGACAGAAAGAAGGCCAAAAGGCACATGAAAACATGCTCAAAGTCACTAATTATCCGAGAGATGCAAATCAAAACAATAATGTGGTACCATCTCACACCTGTCAGAATGGCCAACATCAACAAATCAACAAATGACAAGTGTTGGTGTGGTTGTGGAGAAAAAGGAACCCTCGTGCACTGCTGGTGGGAATGCAGACTAGTGCAACCACTGTGGAGAACAGTGTGGAGTTCCCTCAAAAAACTGAAAATGGAACTCCCATTTGACCCAGTAATCCCACTTCTAGGAATATATCCCGAGAAACTAGAAACACCAATCAGAAAGGATATATGCACCCCTATGTTCATAGCAGCACAATCTACAATAGCCAGAATTTGGAAACAGCCTAGGTGCCCATCAGCAGATGATTGGATCAAAAAACTATGGTACACCTACACAATGGAATACTATGCTGCCATAAAAAAGAAAGAATTCTCATCATTTGCAGCAACCTGGATGGAACTGGAGAACATCATGCTGAGTGAAACAAGCCAGTCAATGAAAGAGAAACACCACATGACCTCACTCATTTTAATAAAGAACATTATAAACTGATGAACCAAAAGATAGATATAGAGACAGTAAAGTAACAAGTAGACTGTCAAATTACAGCAGGTAGGGTAGATAATAGATCAACCGAAGGACTTGTATACATGCATATAAGTACAACCAATGGACACAAAACCCTGGGGAGGGGAGGTTTGTAGGAGGGGGGGGGGCAATGTTAAATTATGTACACAGATAATAATTGAATTTAAAAAAATGGGGGGGAAAGTCAATGAGAAGAAAAAAAAAAAAGAAAATGTAATAAGGTACATTGAAGTAAAACACCCAAGAAAATAAATATAAATTTTTAAAAAAGGAATAAAGATTATAAAGAACAAATGATTGAAATAGAAGACAAAGAAGGTCTAACATGCTATAACTAGAGCCCATGAAGAAAAAAAAATAAACTACTGATATGGAACTAATATTTAAAACTATAATCCAGGATCATAAGGGACCACAATGTACCCAAGAAAACTGACCCAGAATGATAAACTCTGAGTCATATCTTAGCAAAACTATCAGACTTTAAAGAATTTTTAAAATTTCTTTAGACTCCATGCAAAAAAAAAAACAAGTAAAATAACTTACAAGGGCAAGAGAATGAGACGTCATTGAACTTTGAGAAAGCAACCTGTGATATGGGAAAATGGAGAAGCAACATTTCCCCAAAACTTTAACATATGTGAGCCAAGAATGTTATATGCATCAAAGCTCTTCTTCAATTATTAAGACCACAGAAAAGGAATTTTGAACATGCAAAAACTCATGTAAAGATGTTCCCTTCTTGAGGAATCTACTAGAAAGTAGGCTTCATCCGACCAAAAGGTGATTGGAGAACTTCAGCAAAAGGACTGCCAATGAGCATTTCCTGTGTTTCATTATAGAGCTAAGATTAAAAAGAAGTTGAAGACACAAGGAGAAGATTAGAATTTAAGTAATATGTTTTCTGACAAAATAGGAAGAATGCAATTTTAAAAAGAAAGGGGGAAAATATTTTTAAAAATTCAAAAGTAGTTTTACATATAACAATTATATATTTTTTAAATGTATGAGAATAAAGGAGGACTTGTGGAATTATGATAGATGGCAGACCATGACACTTGTTTCCAAGCGCTCATGTATTCGTGTCATCCCCTCCTCTTTAGTGTGCCGGTGCTTAGGTGTCTAACAAATACAATATAACCCAACCGGCGGATGTCACTGCTGAGATTAGTTATAAAGGGACTTGATTCCATCATGGGCTACTGTCTGGGTCTCTCAGATCGTCAGCTGCCGCACTGCGAGGAGGACACTCAGGAAGCCTACAGAGAGCCCACGTGGTGAGGAGCCAAGGCTTGCCAGCAATGACATGAGTAAGCTTGGAAGTGGATCTTCTGAGTTTTGCCGGAAGAACGTGTGGATAAACTTGAAGCCAGATTGGCAAACCCCAGTAGATAGTTGAGACGATTCTGTCCTGGACAACAGCTGAGACACTGAGGAGGAAGCTAAGCCACACCCAGGTTCCTGGCCCATGGAAACCGGGAGAAAACCAGCAGTCATTATGTTAAGCTATTAACGTTTGGTTAATTTGCTATACAACAAGATAACTAGCGTAATCCTTATAAAGGGTTTATATAGAAAGAAAACTTTGAACCTAAAGACTAACCTTCCTAAATGCCAAAAGGAGTTTTAGAAAAAAGCAAAAAAGACATTCTAAACAAAGACACAAAATAAATCAATGTGTTACACACAATTATTACAATATAAATGAATGTGGGAGGTGACAGCACCAACAGGATGGAATAGATGGTTAACTTCAATCTTTCTCACAGAAAGTCTAACGAGAAACTAACCATAGACAGGACACCTTTGGGAAAATACCAGAAGCACCTCTTTGGGTCACAGGGACATGGAAAAAACCGCAAAAACTTCATGTTAAACAAGATAAGCCAGTCTCAAAAGACCACATATTGATGAGTCCATTCAACTAAAGTGTTCAGAATAGAGAGAAAGTTAATTAGCAGTTTCTTAGCACTGGGCAGATGAAGGGGTAGGGGGTGATACTAAAAGGTATGGGATTTCTTTTTGAGGTGAGGAAAATGTTCTAAAATTGACTGTGGTGATGATCTGCCACGTTCACCACATCCATTTATTATTATATGACTATTAAATAAAGTAACATTTGTAAAGTACTCCCCAGTACCTGTTCCTAGTGTTGTTATTAGCATAAAATCTTATTTAAAATAAAACTGAAAAGACAGACATTCCATTCAATGAAAGCTTGCTCTCTGGAAGTAAAGGATGTGAAACTTCACCTGCCGTCAACTTGTGCCACGGCCACCGTAAGGGCAGGGGTAATTACACCCTGGGATGTAGATACTTCTTTATCCCAAAATACCATGTTAGCAGGTAAATATCACAGAAAATAATAGGGAAGATGCTCAAGTAAATGCAATAAGACTTTTTTTTTTTTTTTTTTTTTTTATCAGTGAGGGGTTCTCTGGGCACTCAGCATGGGAAGATTACTTTTTACTTTTTAATCCTGCTTCATCTTCTGATTTTCTATTGTTTCCAAAGCTGCCATGCTCCTTGGTTTTCTATTTATTTGATCTCTTCTCAATTGGATTACTTCAGATTTCCTAGGGTTCACAGTGGCCTCTGCTCTCTTCCCCTTGAAATGCTTCCTGAAAACAATCTGTCTCTGCGGGATGTGTGATTTAT